AGGCTAGAGGAAAAATCCTCTGCCCCCGTCGGGGATCGAACCCCGGTCGTCCAGCCCGTAGCTAGTCACTATACTGACTGAGCTATCCCGGCTCATAATTTAATTGGTAGACAGTCACCAATTGTGAAGACGCCATTGGGTTAAAGGTAATAACATGCACGAGTAATCAACATGCCCCTTACACAAAGACGCTGCTCATAAGTCGACTATTAGCTTAATAACGTTATTTACGTCCACACTGCAATTGGCAGCTGCCACACTCTATCTTAGCACGTTAGATATAAGTATCTAGCGCGCATTTCACTTGTATCCGGGATATACATGGTTCGAATCCTGGTTAGAAATTGTCTATCATAGTTGAAATACCTGGGCGTTTCTTCAGACATACTAGAAGAATACAGAAGCTGTAGCTTCAAGGAGGTCAGCCTGCCGATTTATCTACGACCAATTTTAATACTCTATGCATTACCCACTGTCACCCTAACAATATTATTACACAGATAATATTTCGTGACCAAAACTGGATGCAAACTACATTTATAAAAGATGAACACTCAGGGTAACAGGGATACACTTTGGCATTTGAACGTCATCCGCCAGTTCTAATGGCATTCGTTATTTTGACGGTTATGAGGTCACCGGATGTAAGTCGAAATTGTTTAATGAAAGACCAATAATAGTTTCTTGGTCTTTTGAGGCTTTTATTTTCAAATATTTGACTTAAATGTACGAGTATCCTGGTGTAATAATATCCAAAAATGGTATTATGGACTTCGTCCATTGTCTGAATTTCAATAAAATTGTAACGTTTCGGAAGCTGGGTCTTCTTCCGTCTTCAGGTCCAGGTCTGAGGGTACCTCAACCAGGGAGCCCAAAAGCTAGGATTTCTGTCCTTCCCCTTTTTACATGACTACGGACGAAGATCCAGCTCCCGAAAAATTGTAATTTTATTGCAATCAGTCCGAAATACCACGATCTTCACAATACGAAACATGGATAAAACTATCACACCGCGCTGAGAAATCAAAACTAGCATCACAATGAAAATCGATTTGTGAGATAAAAATAACATAATTTATGTTCACAAAAGAAAAAAAAATTCCGGTACCGGGAATCGAACCCGAGCCTCCTGGGTGAAAGCCAGGTATCCTAGCCACTAGACCATACCGGACGACGGGATAGCATGATTTCCAAGCTGTAAGATACTCGACAATAACGCTGCTTATTTTTTATTTAATGAGAAACATATCCTTAACTTCATACTAATATTTAATACATGGACATACTTCCCCTCATTGGTGTCCAGAACGCCAGTAACCTTGCAACGATAAAGATCTAGTCCTTTCGTAAGACAGGCTGGTAAATGGAATAAAACTCTCTAGTTTAAGTGACTCAGCAAAAATTAATTCTGTGAATTTTCCCGCTATATCTCTGAAACCATCCGTGTTTTAGACATGCAATATCGCTAATGTCGAAGCCCGCAATTGGACACGTTCCTCGTCCCTTCAGGATATCAGACTACAGTACTGTATGGCTTTAATATTCTCCTCTGTCAAAGTCAAACAGAACTAAATCAACAGAAC